AGAAAGGTATCAAGCCATTAATGTGCAAAGGAGGGCACTGAAGACAGTGAAGAGCTTTGAGGGGAAGCGATTCAAGCAGTGGCTGAGGTCAGTTGGTCTGTTCAGTCTGGAGGAGACTTGAGGGGGAATTGGGGTTGCCAACATCCTCACTAGGGGAGATCATGGACCAGCAAGCACTGATCTCTTTTCTGTGGTGACCAGTGACAGGACGCGAGGGAATGGCCTTGTTAGAAATGAAAATTTGTCCAGCCAAATTAAAATTAAAAAATTAAAATATTTATTTTGCAATTCAAATTCTATCTAGCCAGCCACAAGGACAGAACAGCCCGTGGTTGGCACTGGGTGTGCAACAAAGAGGTCAGCCTCAGCAGAGGTTTTCCTCTATGCCCACATGCCTCCATCCTGGTACAAATGGTTTTTATAGGGAAAATTCCGCCTGAGGCCAAGATTTCAGCAGTCAGTCCTTTCTTCTATTCAGATTTCCATAGTTTGATGAGATTTCTTTTCTTGGCGAGGAGGTAGAACAATCCAGTGTCCGGAGCTGGTGAATCCCTTGATGAAATTTACAGGAACCCTGCATTCTCAGGTATCTATCCGGAGGATTTCCATAATGTCCATCTCGGGTCATTCACATCAGTCCTTGGCATCCCAGTATCTACGGCCATCTCCAGAGAGTCACATCCTTTTACTCGTAAATCGTGTTTCAACATGCACCAGGTTTCGCCTGCGAGGGTGGGGGGGACTCCTAATACAAACGTGTATACTCCACCAAATGTTCCATATCACATATATCATACTAGAAATGGCGTGAATTTTATCTATTACACATAACAGCCTGAAGTTGTTCAGAGGTGCTTTAGGTTAGATTTTAGGAAAAGGCTCTTCACCCAGAGGATGGCTGGGCAGTGGAACGAGTCCGCGAAGGAAGCGGTCAGAGCCCCGAGCCTGGCAGAGCTCGCGGAGGGTTGGACAGTGCTCCCGGGCACACAGCGCGATTCCGAGGGCTGTCCTGCGTCAGGGTGAGAGTCGGGCTCCATCATCCTGCCGGCTCCCTCCCACCTCGGCGTACTCCGCGGCTCTGCGAGCGGAACGTGGCTCGGGCGGGCCCAGCCCTGTCGGGCGACTTTCTAGAGATGCTTAGGTGCTCAGTGACAGAAAGTTTGGCAATAAAACATTTCCTGACCCCCTTTCGCCGGCCCCGCTGCCCGGGGGAGGGAAGGAGGGGGCGGCCGGCGCCGTGCCCGGGTGAGGGCCCGCGCGCATGCGCGGCGAGCGCGGCGCCCCCGCTCGGCTCCGCTCGGGCTGCGCTCGGCTATTTCCGCCTCTTTGTTTTAAACTCCGGGCCGAGCCCTTTAAATCCCCCCCCC